GGGGCCTGCGCTGCATAGGGCTCGTGGGGGAGGGGAGGGCTGGCTCGCGGGTGGATCTCAGAGGAGTCGGGTGGGATGGCCTCTCCTTCCACACACCCCGCCCCCACCTCCACCCCGGAGAAGCGTTAACCCGTCACCGCGGCGGTGGGCGGTGCGCGGGGCTTCCGGGTTCCTAGGCGCTAACCACCCCCCACGTGCACGGCCGCCCGGGCCTCTTCCCGCTACGGCCAGCCCTGCTCCACTCGTCCCCGTCCCGGAGGGACCCAGGCCACCGGTGGGCCGGCGTGGTCCCCTCCAGGCCCAGTTTCCGAAACGTGCGTGAAAGGAACCGGGGCTGGCTCCCTTTTCTCCTACCCGGACCGCACTACGACTCCCAGCGGGCAGCGCCGCCACGCGCGTCGGCCGCAGAAGCGGTGCCTGCTGGGAGCTGGAGTCCCCAACGGCCGCGGCGCTCGCTGACCCCAACTGGCCGCGGGTCCTGGCAGCCCGCTCGGGAACCCCCAACCGTCCTGGCGCTGCACCCCGGTAGCCGCCCCGCGGTGCTTCCAATAGAAGGGGGGAGGGGAAGGTGGGCTTCTCGTCCGCTCGTTTCCGAGCCCTGCACTCCTTTCGGTCTCCACCGGACGCTGTCGTTAGTCAAAGTGGCTTTAATTTGGGAAAGCTGTTTCGGGGTCTTTGTCCGCTTCCTTTTTTAAAGTATCGTGATCACTGTTAACTTAAGCTGCTAGGTTGGAATCTTTGATTCGTGCTGTTTCTACTTGAGATTTCTTTGAGGTAGAAAACAGGACTCAAGAAAAATGAGTGTTTTTCCTTTAAAGTATGAGTCTCACAGTCGTACATAGCACCACAGAACTGCAAGCAGGCAAAATTAGGAATAGATTCAATGCAGTATTACAAATGTTTAAAACAATTTTATACATTAGTTGTGGACTTCAATAGAAATTCTAAATTTAGTAAATTGATGGCCGTTAAAAAAATACCAGTTTATCGGAATGACATTAAGTCAACATACAAATCCCCACTTTAAAGTAGTAATGTACTTTACAGTTTTTAAAGCACTTGCATAAACATCCTATCATTTGTTCCCTACAGCAATCTTGTGTGGGTGGTGGAGTACGTAATAATAATTTTATTTTACTGTTAAGGGAACAGTCTCAAGCTAAATGATTGCCCAATTCATTCTTTAATTCAATAAACTTTAATGCATGCCAGATACATTGCCAGGTGTGGATTGGGTGCTTTATTGTCATTTAATTAAAATTTAAACCAGCAGAATCCCATGTAAGTGCTATTTTGCCCCCATCTTGGTAGGAAAAAGATAATATTTTTGAAAAACATACTGCCTCATGAGCTTTATTAGGCAAAAGAGCAAAACTTTGGATTGTGCGTTAGGAAGACACATCTATTACTAAATGATAAATCACCACTCTATTAGAACTCTGTGGTTAAAAATCAATCCATCAATATATTTACTGAATGCCTACCAAGTGGAGAGTACTGTAAGTAAGGAAGATAAATGACAGAAAAAAATTCCTGTCCTCAAGAGGCTTATGATGAGCTCTCTGGTAATCATAAATATCAGCATTAATAACAGTACAATCAACATCCAATCCTAGCATTTTATCTGGCTGTGACGATTTTCTATTAGATTCTATATTTTCTTAAAAAATAAGAGAATGGAAATTCCATTATTATATTTTGAAAGAAAACTATTTCATTTTCATATTTTTACTAAGTTACTAAAACAGCTAATAGAAAACAGGTAAAAGAAGAGGTGTACTCAATAAAGGAGAGTGAAGGGAGATCAACTCCAATACCTTGGAAATTAGACTACAGCAAGAATTAAAACTATCCATCAAAAAAGCCAAAATCTTGGGTGCCTGGGTGACTCAGTCGTTAAGCGTCTGCCTTCAGCTCAGGTCATGATCCCAGGGTCCTGGGATTGAGTCCCACATCGGGCTCCCTGCTCCGCGGAAGCCTGCTTCTCCCTCTCCCACTCCCCCTGCTTGTGTTCTGCTCTCGCT